CAAAGAAGATGAGGAGATGGGAATCCGAGAAGAAGATTCCTGGGATGGGTCAGTCAAATGCTGAGGCCCACACTCCTCTGGTGACCAAAGACCTCTTTCTTTCCTCCGGAGAGCAGGAGAAGTCCTTTCCTCAGGGATAATTCCCTTTCTCTTGACATTTTCCTTGGAGGCTTCTCACATAATTAACTTAATAGCTCAGGCTCTTGAAAACAAAAGCTAGAAAAGGAAGTGGTTTCCAGGCAACTTTTGATTTCTACACCACCATTACAGGCTTTCCCTTTGTAAGGAAGCCTTTCTCTTCTTGACTGGAATAAAGAAAATGAAAAATTGCAAGTAGAAACAAAGAAATATCTTAAAAACTCACATTATAGCACTTTTTAAAAACAATAAATGCTGGAGAGGGTGTTAGAAAAGGGAACCCTAAAAAAAAAAAAAAAGAAAAAGAAGAAAAGAAAAGGAACCCTCCTACACCACTGGTGGGAATGCAGTTTGGTGCAGCCATTATGGAAAACAGTATGGAGATTCCTCAAAAAAACTAAAAATAGACTTACCATATGATCCAGCAGTCCCACTCCTGGGCATATATCCAGAGAGAACTCTAATTTGAAAAGATACATGCACCTCAATGTTCATAGCAGCACTATTTACAACAGCCAAGACATGGAAACAACCTAAATGTCATCAACAGACAACTGGATAAAGATGTGGTGTACACACACACACACACACACACACACACACACACACAAGGGAATACTACTCAGCCATAAAAAAGAAAACAATGCCACTTGTAGCAACATGGATGGACGTGGAAATCATTTTAAGTGAAGTAAGCCATAAAGAGAAAGAAAAATACCATATGATATTACTCATATGTGGAATCTCAAAAAAAAAGGACACAGATGAATTTATTTACAAAACAGAAACAGACTCACAGACATAGAAAATAAATTTTTAGTTACTAGGGGGGAAGAGGGTAGGAAGGGATAAATTGGGAGTTGGAGATTCGCAGATATCAACTACTAAATATAAAATAGATATTTAACAAGGACCTACTATATAGCACAGGGAACTATATTCAATATCTTGTACTAATCTATAATGAAAAAGCATGTGAAAATGAATATATATATGTATGACTGAAACATAATCCATATTCCAGAAATTGACACAATATTGTTAACTGACTATACTTCAATTAAAAAAGAAGAAAAAAACATACTAGTATCATACCAAACATCCTGTTGTTTAAAGTTAACATTATATAGTGGACACTTTCCATTAGAGTAAATGAAAAAAAAATAGAGTAAATGGTCTTTGAAAACGTAGGTGTAATGACTGCATAGTGTTCCATTTCTTGAAAAGAAATTCTGAGAAAGCTGAAGAAGTCAAGGGAAAAATATCCTTTTCCAGTAGCAGGCAGCTCATGGCATCAGCTTCTGCAGCTTATGGGTTTTATCCAGCATACTCTCCTGGGTTCAATCCCCAGTACTTCCATTAAAATAAACAAACAAACCTAATTATGCCCCCCAAAACCCCTACTGTTTTAAGATTCCAAATTTTAGGGGAATATTTAGAAACAAAAACTGCTCTAAGTAAAAAAGAAAAAATACACAAAATCCTACAATGATTTCCCGTAACATTCAGGATAAATTGCAAATTTTTCACATGAGCACCCAAGGCCCTTTTCTGATTCAGAGCCCTGTCTATTTCTCCAGCCCCATCTCCTGCTCTTGCACACCCCGCACCCTAGGGTGCCCCAGACCACTGGGATTCATTCCCCCCAACATGTCCTGTTGCTTCATACCCATGTGACTTTGCCAAAGTTCTCTCTTTAACATCCTTCCCCCATTTCTTTGCTTCTGGAAAACTCTCCTTAACGCCACTATTCATAAGGGAAACTAAAGTCTGTTTTTGCTTTTGTTGAATGCTTTCTAGCTGTGTGTACTGTCAGCCACATCTCAAACCCAGAGCCCCAAGCAGACACAGGTTATTGTCTTCTATAATCCTTGTCTTCCAATAATGGCATTGGGAAAACGTTAAACGTCAGAATGTGCTAATTCAGAGATGACCCTTGAGTGTTGGTTAAAGTTGATTTAAACTCAAGCAAATGCAAAAGCCGGTACCTCTGGGTAGAGAAAAAATCAGTTTTGCCTCCTACAAACTTATTAGAAGTAACTAACACACACACAAAAGAAAGGCTCTCCTTTACTCGAAAAGAGCTTTCGGTGCAACATCTAATTCTTATTCATTTGAAACGTAATTTGACACATAAATTGCTTTTCCTCACTTTTGATCGATTTTTCAAAATACCTTGAAATGAACATTGTTTTCCCATTTATTTTTCTCTGTTGAGAATGTCCTTCCTTGAATAGAATGTGAGGAGATTTTTGCATTTACTTTTCATGATTTAGTTAGCTCATTTTAGAATATGTAAACTTTGGACCAAATTAAACGAAAAATTTAAGGCCCCTGAGAAATATTCAGTCCTTCCTTTGCATAAGTAGTACGCCTTCTTGTAAGAAAAAAAGCCCAGACAACTCTGAAATGTATTCCACTTTTTCCTTTTCATTTTTTCGTCCACACTGTTGAGAGATAGGAGTAAATAAATAACAAGAGTATACATTTCTTTTCTAGAATGTGCTGATTTCTAAATTCTGTCTTATCTGCTCAAAACTGGCTTAAGGGAGATGAAAAATACTGCATTGAAAGAAAAAAGTGGCAGGTCTTAGCACTAGAAAATCAACAACTGGCAAGTTCTTTCGTTTGTTTATTAAATATTTATCATGCACCTACTATGGGCCAGGTAGGGAGGTAGGCACCTCTGTAAGCAAAATCACTTGGATCGAGGTCATTAATGTTACTAATGATCTCTATCTTTGCAAACCCAAAGGTCAGTTCTCTGTTCTCAACTTACTCCTCCTCTCAGTGGATTTCACCCTCCTTCCTTCTCCAAAGACTTGCATCTCTGGGCTTCTGAAGCACACGCTTGCCTGTTTTTCCTTCTAACCTCCTGGCCATGCCTTTGCTCTATCACTGGCTGGCTCCTCTTTCTCCTGAAAGCTAACTTTTGGGCCTTTCTTCTTCTCTAATCCACATTCTCATCCTAAGTGATCTCTCGTTCTGTGGTTTAACATCATCTAGATGCTAATGACTCCCAATTCTGTATCTCCAGTCCCCTCTTTTCCCTGAGCTCTAGACCAGATCCTACATCCAACCATCCATGTGATATCTCCACTTGGATGTCCAATAGGGATTTCAAGCAGAACAATTCCCCCCCATTTTTCCCACACAAAGCTGCCCCTACCTCAGTCTTTCCCATTTGGTAAATTGTATCATTTGCTTGACCAAAAGTCTAAACGGTAGGAATTGCATTCGGCTGCATGTAACAGAATCCAACTTAACCAGAGAGCAATTTTGTTTGTTTGTTTTCACATAAGAAGACCAGAGGCAGGCAGACCAGGGCTGGACAGTGGTTCCTCAAAACCAACGATGTTCCGGCTCCTTCCATCTTTTTTCTTCACTGTCCTCATGGTTGCAGGATGGCAGCCCCACCTCCAGGCTCACATCCACATGTCAACGGAAAGAAAAGGAATGAATTAACAAGGTCAAGGGCACAGAACTTATATGGGAATAGCAAACCATTTCCAGAAATTCTAAGCAGACTCCTGCTTATCTCTCAGTGTCCAGAACTGGGTTACAAGCTCCACTTTAGATGCAAGAGAGGCTGGGAAATCCAGCTTTTCAGCTGAGCACAGTGCTACCCCGCACAAATCAGGGTTTGATATATGGAAGAAAGGTAGACTGGATACGATAGGCAATAGCGGCACCCACTCTATCGTCCTGGACTGCGCGCTCCTAACTTTCATCACAAATCCCTCGGCAAGTCCTGCCAGTCCCACCTCCTGAAGACCTAGCAAATTCAACCACTTCTCTTCATCTCCATTGCTCAGAGTCTGGCCTGAGATAACGGCATCTCTCACTCAGACCACAGCACATGGCCTCCGACCTGGTCACCTCTTCCGCACTTGCCCTCTCTCTGGCCCTTTCTTCACACTGTAGCTGTGTACTTAAAAGTACGAATGTAATCACATCACTCCCTTTGTTAAATTCTCCAAAGGATCTGTTATAGCGTGATTTCCCCTAAGCAGACCCAAGACAAGCTGTTTATCTGAGAGGTGCAGGACACACAGGGTGGGGCTATGCAGCGAGACCAGGGAGGGCAGGCGGCCTGGGGAAGGTGTGGTACCTCGCCATCCTCCCCAAGGGCCACTGCAGCTCAGCCCAGGGGAAGCACTGGGAAACGGTGTAAAACCCTTGCTTCAGAATTACACCACCCCAGGGGCAGGGAGGATTTATGTACCAGCCCCAAAGGTTGCTGGTCTCACTCTCTTGGCTTGAGCACCCAACCCTGAACCTACCCCTTCCCTGACCTGATTCACCGCAAAGCCGGCACTTCCTTCCACTTATTAACCTTTCTGTTTACAGACCTTCACAGTTTCTTCTGTTTGAAGCAGAATCATAAGAGGGTGCAAGAGTCACTTTATTTCTTTAATAGGATAAGAAGTTCAAAATACAATTTAAGGATGATGGGTGTTCACCTTAGAAATTTACTAAGTTCTATTAACAAAATAGAAACAGACTCACAGACGTAGAAAACAAACGTATGGTTACCAAAGGGGAAAGGGCAGGGAGGAATAAATTAGCAGTTTGGGATTAACAGACACACACTACTATATACATAATAGATAAACAACAAGGTTCTACTGTATAGCAAAGGATCTACATTCAATAGCTCATAATAACCTGTAATAAAAAAGAACGAAAAAGAATAGATATATGTGTATAACTGAATCACTATGTTGTACACTAGAAACCAACACAGCATTAAAAATCAACTATACTTCAATAAGAAAAAAGAAATTTGCTAAGTTCTAGTCTCATTCTAAAGTAGTTAAATTTCTGTGATGTTCTCTTTGATAGACAAAAAATGCATATAACATCTTTAATAATACAGGAAAATGTCAAGTAGGGTGTATAAGGCTTGGAATATTTCTTTAAAGGCAATATATTATGGTATATATCACCTGATGATACTAGCAACTAATTATGTGCGTATGGTATCTGCATATGGCATTACTGTGATGGCGGGTATAGATGAATGGTGAGTGAACAACTTTGGATATATTTCTGCTTTAGATTAGCTAACTACTTGTCTTTACTTTCCTTTCTTCTTCAATTGTTCTACAAAGTAATCATTACAAGCAACTGTGAGAGCTGCCACCATGACCACGAATTCATTAAAATCCACTTCGTTGTCCTTATTGGCATCCAGGTCCTGCATTATCTTATCAACCAACTCGGGATCCTTTCGGCACTAAAAAGAAGAAGAAAATTTCTAACTCCCAGGCTTTGAGGTTCATAATGACAACTGAAATCTCATCTTCCTTTTAGCTACATGAAAGTTTTTAGTTCCATTTTTAGCCTCTAAGGCAATTTCCAAGAGCCTCTTTGCAGGTAGGTGAGAACCAGGCACACATTCTAAATGCAGGCTAGGCCTTGGCCCCAGGGCCATACAATCCTGTCTCAAACCAAAACACCAAGAGGAGCAAACAGCAGCACATCCAAGTGAGCAGCTTGTGCTGAACATGCATTTACATCATAGGCCAAGGGGCCAGGCTGGGGGCGGGGGGCAGGTGGGACATGGAAAGCTGGAAGCTTTGAAGCCAAAAGGGACAGTGAGTGGCTCTGCCCTTTGCCAACAATGGGATATGGAGGAAATCACTTAACAATTTTAAAGTTCCTTATTTATCAAAAGGGGAGAATTATATTTCCCCACAAATTTGGAACACACTTCAACACACTTTGGAAAGTGCTTAGCACCAGGTTGTTAGAATTAGCAAATAAAAATACAGGACAGTTGGTTAAATGTAAAACTTTCAGATGAATGATGAATACTCTCTGAGTTTGAGGCCCCAACATTGCATGGAACATACAATATTTTATCTGGCACCACGCCTGACACACAAAAACAGGGGCACCCAATAAAGGGGAGATCTTATAAGGGAGACACCATTTTATCAGGAGGAAGGAGAGGAAGGAACCCAAAGAGGAGATCAGCGTTCAGAAAGGGTGGGATTGTGAAGCCCCCACCTTCCCTGCGATTGGCTGATGAGAAATGTTTCCAAAAGTGTAGTTCATTTCCTCCAGGAATTCCCCACTGTCCCCTCATTAGTTGCCAAGCATTTAATAGCTGGAAACTTAAATTGAATTGCTCAAAATCAAGTCAATCAAAAACAATGATAAACTTCACTTGAATAAATTGATGTGCCAAATTTGATCTACTGAGTCCTGGACTCCAAATGTTACATAAGACCATAGCCAAACTGAATTTGGGGGGAAAAAAAAACCCAACAGTCCAGGGGACTCCTAAAGTTACTTAAAAGGTATTGTAAGGAATTATTATGTTAAAATTTTTAAATTTTAGTTTCTTCTTATAGAGGGTAGGAGAAAAGAGGGTCATAATTACAATTCCTATTGTCTTAGTACTGGGTTTGAACAGAGTAACATCACGCCAGGCTACTACAGTGCTAAAAATCAATTCAAGGCCGCTCTATACATCCCAGAGTAAGCATTTTTCTCAGAGAAGGCTCCAAACACCCCATTGTAAGGATTCACGTGTGGATGTGTTGAACTCCCAGCTGTTTTGGGAGGTAAACCTGTTTGCTACCCAACTGGTCCCTGGCCAGACATACCATTGCCAGCAATCCCAGCCAGCTTGTGCTTGGCTAACAAACTCTCCAGGTATTTGTCCTTCACTAGAAAATTTGCCACCACAGCATAAAGTACCCCAGGCTTCATTTCTGGCCCCAATAGCACTATTTATTCATTTACAGACAGCTGGACAGAGCTCCAGGTATAACTCGTGTCACTAGTTGTAATTCTAACTCCTGGTGCAACTAGATATATCTTTGATGGCTGCACCAGGATGTTGAATACTTCTTGAAAGCCTCAAATATCTCTTATCACACCTGGAAACTCTAACTACAGCACAACAGGAAAGGGCACATGCCTCCAGGCACAGAAAACAAAAAAGATCTCTAGTTTTTGCGTCCCTGTATTTTGCATCTCGATAGAAATTATACTGTGCGTGTGGCAGAACACAGGAGACTACATACACAGAGGCCATGCCAGGACCTGCGCCACATCCACCCTCGATTGGATGGGGAGAAAAGCCGACTCACCGAGAGGAAGTCCGTGAGCTCTTGCTGCAGGAGCATTTTCAGCTCCCCCTTGTTAAGCTTGAACCTGTCCCCTTCCCTGCAGGAATAGCGGTGGAAGATCATGATCATGGTGTTCATGGCAATCTCCAGCTGGGTGGGCATGCTGGTAGCAGGACGGATCCCTCTGGCACAGGCCACCAAAGCCAGGAGAAATCACTTGTTCAGACTAGGCGGGCGGGTAAACAACACTTTCATTAAAACAGAACATTGCCATCCCCAGGTCATCCCACTCCCCAGGTGACGTTTGTTAAACCGTGATCATCTTCCATTACCCGGGGCATTCCGCCCATCCCGGGCAGAGCGAGCCGCAGAGGAGACCTTTGCTGGGAGCCCCACTCCCTGACAATGGCGCTGTTTCAGCGCATTTGAAAGTTAGCAATCAGACAACAAGCACAGAGCCATGGTAAAATACAGGTTAAAAGGAAACAAAAAAGGAAGAAAATACATTACTTTGTACCTGTTCAGCAGCCGCACCGCTCTGGCGACAGGTGTTTACAGTTAAACTAGAAGTGTTCATACAAGATGGGGGAGGTCCTGCCTCTGCACACCTGTTCCCGAGAAGCTGAAATTGCCAGTGATGAGATTCGAATGGAAGGGCCCCTGAGTCTGTTTTTAATCACGAGAAGGAGCAGGTGTGAGCTGCTGCCCCAAGGGCCATCAAGGAAGGGCTGGCACCCACTGTGTGCCCTGGAGGAGAAGGCAAACAGGAAAGAGAAGCCTCGGGTTACCCCTCATTAAGGGCAGTGTGGGTACAAGTGCTGTCTTGGTAGGAAGGTGATGGCTGGGAAAACTAAAAACAGAGGAGCAAGAAAGGCTGGTTCAAACCTGGAGCCTCCTCAGCAAAGCCAACAGCTGGGTCAGGGGTCAAGGGACTATGCTGAGAGCAGGCTTGTTAAACTAACAGTGAGTTGTGCAGCTGTTAAAAAAGAAAAAGAATGAGAAAGTGCTCTGCCAATTTAGAAAGGAAAAAAGCAGCGACTCAGGGTGTGTAGGAAAAAAATAAGAATAAGGATACGTATGTGTGCATACACTTCAACTTGCCTAAGCAATCACTGCAAGTGGCAGGTGTAAGGGCGCGTTCAGATGATCACGCACAGAGCAAATGTGACGCTACGTTTTACGAATCACCTTGACTGTCTCAACTGGATGTGCTTTTTTTCCTGAAATTAATGATAACTTTCTATCATTATTTCATGAGTTCCTTGATTTTTGGTAAAGAAAAAAGTTAGGAGGCTATTTAATGTGTTGTACAACTTTACTATTGTAATCTGTTGGTCAATATTTGTTACTAAGCATTTCTGTGATGTGAGATTTTAATTCTGGCAGTGAGTTTGGAAAGTTCTTGAAAGCCTATGTTTTCTAAAATAAGACAAATGTCTTCTACATGTCCATTTGCTTTTTATTACAATTTTAAATAAGACACTCATGTTAATTAAAAAGGGGGGGAAGAGGGTAGAATGGAGTGGTTGGGAGAAAGATTTCTCATTTACATCTTTTAGACTGATTTTAACTTTTTTGGTTAGGGGAATGTATTGCATAGTCAAAAAAAAACCCGAAGTCTGTAGAATGAGCCCTCGAAGCTGTGCATGCAGGAATCCACAGCAGAGGGATTTCCAAGTGAGAGAAACTTAACAAAGAAAAAGTCACCTGGGAAAATCAAAGCCAGACATTGGCCACTGTGCTTTTAAATGCTGCCTATCCTCTCAGGACTGAACTTTAATTATATGGGAAGCAAACCAGTGGTATCTCCTTTGTACTTCCTTTCAACCAGCCTGTTGGGATGTGCCCTCAATGGGCCCACCCCCACCCTCTCACCAGCCGATGGTCCGCTGGGACCTCCGGAGAAGTCCCCAGGGCTGCTCTCACCGTACACCCAAAGCCCAGTTCTCACAAATATGTTTAAATTAGTTTTTTTAATTGTTAAAGGAATAACGCATGTGGTAAAATAGTAATATTCTGCATACTCAAGAGTATAAAACAAAAGTAAAACTCTCTCTGCTATTTCCCACTCTTGTCCCTTTCGGTTAACACTTTCCTGTGTGAGAGGCAGGCTCGTGATGGTGAAAAGTATGACTGCCTGGCTTCTGCTCTCACCTCTGCCACTGATGAGCAGTGCAGTCCTGGGCTGGTCTTTGACACTCTGTCTCATTTTCCTAGTCTGTATAAATGGGATCGCAATAGTACCTACCCAGCAGAAAGGATTAAATGAGTTAAAACATGTGCCTGGAATATAGTGAGTGCTTTGCATGTACTGGCTGTTACCCTTACACAGAAAAAGGATGTGTTTCTCATTTATTTAACTGTGTATAATATTACATATATATCCTTAAACATATATATACACATATATATACATGTATATAAAAAATAGCATCAACAGGTAAGCACCTTGTTTATTTAACTTAATATATATCAGCACATATAGACTCTATTCTTCACTGAAGTTGCATTTTATTCCAGTGGATGAATGTCCCTACATATATAGTCAAGAAATATTTATCAGGCACTGGAGTTATGCCAGGCCTTGTGTAAACAGGACAGAAGAAACTCGCTCTCTGAGCAAATCTTGTTGCTGTTTTTATTGGGGCTGTGTTAAGTACAGAGGATGCAGGGAACACTGATGTCTTTTTATGTTGGGTCTTCCACCCAAGAGCACCCCTATGATTCTGTGACCACACTTCTCTGAGTCCCCTCAATTTTTTTTCTCTTTTTAATGGAGGTGCTGGGGATTGAACCCAGGATCTCGTGCATACTAAGTATGTGCTCTACCACTGAGCTATACCCACCCCGCTGAGTCTCCTCATTTCTGAATGCACTTTCCCCTCTTCGACGGCCAAACGTCCTCCAGCGATTTCAGCTGTTACTGTAACTGCAGTCACTTCACAAATCATACTTTTTGGCCCAGATCTCTCAGCTCCAAAACCACTTATCCAACTGTCTGCTGGACCACATTCATACCAGAATGTCCCACAAGCTTCTTAAACTCAATGAGAACCAAAGCAAAACCCATGCTTTCTCCCCACCCACACCTGCTCCTCCCGCTGTCTTGACCGGCTCACTCACCCAGCTGCTCCCGTCACCCAGCGTCTGACACTATTTTCAAATACCAGTTGAACCCATCCATATCTCTCCATTCTTCTCCACCTTTGGGACTTGGCATCTTCTGCTCTCTATTACTGCTCTCTCTACTCACAATTCTCCATTCTGAGCTCCATTCTGGGGTCAGAGTAGTTTGTCCAAAACACAAATCGCCAGCCACCCACACTCCCGACCATTCAGGGGTCTGACCTGCCTACAAACTGACTGAAATGTCGTGCTCCCCCAGTCTTCTGTTCTGGGCCCACTGCCTGGAGTGCTAATTCTGTCTAGTCCTTAAGGCTCAGGTCAAACATCTCCTCTTGGACGTTTTCCCACGTGTTTCCCGATTCCCCAGCCCCACTCTGATAGGTGCCCACCTCTGTCCTCGCTGTCCTCCAGAGCGTCCCTGTTTCCTTTTCATCATTCCATTCATCACACCTTCCTGTAATCACTTTTTTTGGTCTGCCCACATACTCCCCACTCTCCAGACTTTGGGTACCTCGATGGCAGAACTGACATCTGGTTCATCCTTATACTTTACGGCATTTAGCACAGGATCAAGCACATGGTGGAAATGCTCAGAAATCTTTGCTGATGGATTGGTTAATGAGAAAATGCTTGAGAGAGGGAAACTAAGCTCTCCAAAGAGTTGAGCCTTGTCTGGTTTTACTGTCTAAAGAATTATTTGATTGCCTTTATTCACATACAAAATTTGCTTCAGAGACAGATAAGTCATTTCAAAGAATATAAAGAGTTTGAACTTTGAATTCACTATTTTCAGGTTAAACTGCTGAAGTTATAAAGACACTAAAATGGGTAAGTCTTACGGAATATATGGATCTCAGCTGTATTATGTTTAAATCATATTCAACCACAAATTAATCTACTCGGAGAATTCAGTTGGCAGGCAAAAGTCTTAATAGATTTTTTAAACTGTAATGCTGTAATCTGATTTGAGAGATAGGATGTGGCCTATGTATGCTTTGCTCTTGGGGTTTGAAAGCAAGGTAGTTTCTACTTGGTTTCTGCCTGTCCTTGGCAGAGCTAGATATTTCCTTTGGTATACGCTGCCCCTTAGTGTCAGGCTGAGGAACTGCATCTGAAAGCTCTCTTAATTCCCAGGAGATGCTTGAAATTGAAAGTCACAGGGCCTTTCTTCAGAGGCTTATCTACGATGTAAGCCAGTCCCAGCCTCTGCCCTCCAGGAGCCTTTCAGAAACAAACATAATGTCAAAAGGCTCAACAGGGCCCTGTCAGGCTAGGGACACAAATTTCCAGGTGATGTGAAATTCCAGGGCGGGCACGGGAGACATACCTGTTTATAGCCCAGAGGGGTCCTCCAGCAGCACCTTACTTCTCTATGAATCATTAGTTTTACTTTTTAACTTCTGGTGTGAGTCATAACCCTTAGGGCTAAAAGGTAGAACTTTGCATCTAGGAAATCGAGTGACAAGAATGAGAGAATGGAAACATCAGATTTGGGGTAGTTTAAAGGTAAGGATGATTTTAGAGCCACTATGGAGAACAGTATAGATGTTCCTTAAAAACTAAAAACAGACTTACCGTATTACCCAGCAATCCCACTCCAGGGCATATATCTGGAGAAAACACCAACTCAAAAGAATGCACGCACCCCAGTGTTCATAGCAGCACTATTTATCATAGCCAGGACATGGAAGCAATTTAAATGCTCATCAAGAGATGACTGGATAAAGAAGTTGTGGTATATATATGTATGTATGTATGTGTGTGTGTATATATATATACATATATATATATATGGAAAACTACTCAGCCATTAAAAAGAATGAAATAATACCATTTGCAGGAGCATGAATGGACCTAGAGATTATCATACTAAGTGAAGTAAGTCAGAGAAAGACAAATCTATGATATCACTTATATGTGGAATCTAAAAAACAAAACAAAACAAAAAAAAACAAATTACTTACAAACCAGAAATTGGACCCACAGGCATAGAAAACAAACTATCATTACCAAAGGGGAAAGGGATGAGGGAAAGGATAAATTAGGAGTTTGGGATTAACATATACACATTACTATAATAAATTAGATAAACAACAAGGTCCTACTATTTAGCACAGGGAACTATATTCAATATCTTATAATAACCCATAATGGAAAAGAATCTGGAAAAGTATGTATGTATGTATATCTGAATCACTATGCTGTACACCTGAAACACAATGTTGTAAATCAACTATACTTCAATTTTTGTAATTAAATGAAA